TTCCTTCTTTCCACAATCTCCAAGCCTAAAAACAAATTATGAACCTTGTCATGTTTTAGTTCAAGGAAGGTAAGAAAGCAAGGTCTTGAATCTTGGTACCTACATGTCCAATAAGGTTGCTATGGTTGAGATGGTGAAGCCCCCTGTTCTTCCTGCCACTTATTATCTCTAGCATCAATATACCAAAGCTGAAAACATCAGATTTGACTGAGAATTGCCCATCAAAAGCATATTCTGGTGCCATATAACCACTGTAAGAAAAAGTTTAGAAAAATTATAAAAGCAATGATTTTTGTAGTAAACTAGGCTCTAAAACTACACTACACATGTGTGGTCGTCCATTTGTGTATTGCATCTTTTTTGTAATTACTAAATATAATAATAATGATTCCTAATTGAAATTAATTTTTAATTAATGAATATAAAAGTCATTTCAAACACATATTAATTTGTTTTGGTCTTTTCTTGTTTTAACAAAACAATGAATTTTAGGGTATTTTTCCTTTTAATTTTTTTAGATACAACAAACAATAACTAATTTTTATAATTAAAATTGTTGAATCAATTTGGCATTGAAATTGCTGTATTAATTGAATTGAAATATAGAAAGAGAAGTTATTGGGTTTATTTTATTATTATTATTATTATTATGTAAAATTAATTTGTGAAATCAAATTGAGGTATTGATAATTAGAATTACAATAATATTTATAATTATTTATTGAAGATTCGAAAAGGCCTTTTGGGTATTTATTTAAAATTTTAAATGAATTTTTAAAGACTCAATAGTTACTTATTCAAAATTTATTGATGATTTTAATAATTTTTATAACATAATAAGGTTAGGTAGTATAGAGACAAGACTTACTAGGTTCCAACCACTCTCTCTGTGCTACCCTCAGAGTGTTCTCCAAATGTTCTAGCCATGCCAAAATCTGAAATTTTGGGATTCATTTTACTGTCAAGTAAAACGTTGCTTGCTTTGAGATCTCTATGGATGATCCTCAATCTTGAATCTTGATGTAGATAGACAAGTCCTCTAGCAATTCCACAAATAATGTGAAAACGCCTTGGCCAGTCTAATAGCCCTCTTCTTCTATCATCTGTCATGTAAGATGTTCTTTGTAAAATGTACTGTTCAACAAGAGTTTTTGAAAATGAATCGCATGCATTGAAAAGATAAAACAACTTGTGATAAATTTATGCTACTCCTACTGAGTTAATTAAACAGATCTCATAAGAATTCTAACCAAAAATGAAGAAGTCCAAGCTTTTATTAGGCAAATATTCATAAATCAGCATTTTCTCCTCAACGCAGCATCCTAGAAGTTTTACAAGATTTCGATGTTGAAGTTGGACTATAAGTGCTACTTCATTCTTGAACTCAACTAATCCTTGTCCAGAGCTTCTTGAAAGTCTCTTCACAGCAATTTGTTTTCCATCTGGCAGAGTACCCTGGAAAGGTGTTCACTTAAAGTTCAATTCTTAACAAACAAAAACTAAATATCCTAATAGT